ATATATATATATTGTTTTTCAACAAACCATAAGTTTTGAGACAGTAAATGTTTGGAACCTGTTTCATTTAATTTATAGGTTGTGTTTTCTGCCCCTTTAAATTATGTGGTTATTACCCTTGACGAAGAAAAGTTAACCTGTGTCCACATGCTTTTATATCTATTTTTCACCAAGCTATACAAATTAAACATTTTCATCAAACTGAATCAGAATCATATTTGTTAATAAGCATCTTTTAAAAGGAGTTTTGCAGACTCAGAAATCTGTTTTTATTTAGATCTAAAATGCAGCTTTGAGCACAAATCACAACTGTGAACATTTGGGCAGCTGAGAATATTTTTATTTCTTTGTTTCTTTTGCTGATGTTGCTTCAGATGTGTCAGTGTGGCATTCAAAGAAATAAACTCTTTACGACTTTGTCGAAAAGTCAGTCTGAGTTTTGCTGCTCAAGAAAACAAATCTAAATAGGAGGGATTTAAGGAAGTGCAGAAAACCATCCACCAAGAGACTCTTTCAGTTTGAGACAAATCAATATGATAAAATCTAAAACACAGTTGTTCATCTAAGAACTTGATAAGTCAAAAGTCAAATTAGTTTTAAGATGAAATGTTTTGGAAAAAGCCTCCGCCTTTAAAGTTATTAAAGCGTGTTGCGTTCAGGTGCATCTGCAGCAGGGCTCTGTTTTATTTGGCATTTCTGAACACAAAAGAACGATGTGATTTATTCCTATGCAGTCTAACCATGTGATCCACGGTGTAACCAATTGGCAGCCGAGAAGACGGTAAGGGCAGGAAAAAAAATTACTACCATTTTAGGGGAGGATGCAAGCCTCTGTACCAGCCCCTCTACGGTTTTACAGGCGCTCTAAGTGTCTTTTTATTGAAATAATAAAATAAACATGTCGCTAACGAATTATTATTCCATGATGGGTCTGCAGACCGAGGAGCCGTACGGCGCGCACTTCATCCCGGGAGGCTTGCAGGGCTCGGCGGCCGCCTGCGCGAAGGCAGCCCGGGGAGCGGAGGAGGAGGAGGAGGAGGAGGGGGCCGCTGCCTCCAACATCCCGGATTTTTCCCATTTTTCCAACAAGCCGAGCCTCAACGGCTTCTCCCCCTGGACGAGCACCGCCTCCTCGGTGTCTCCCCAGCTGCAGTCCGGCCCCGGTGCCTCCCTCCCCGGCCTCTTCCATCCGCATCACCTCCTGAGCCACCACCACCACCACCACCCTTACTACGGTCCGCAGGCGCCGAGCCACGCCGAGCACCTCGCCCCCGTGGCGGCGTCCGAAAGCAGGTTCGTCCGCTGCTGGGAGGGCGCGACCCCCGCCTCGGACACCGCTTTGTCCCAAGTTCCGAGCGGCTTCCCCGCGTGTCTCCCCACGCAGGGGGACCTGTCCAACCCGAGCCCGACCTACGAGGCGATCAAACCCGAGAGTTCTCCGCAGCAAGACAGCGCCGACGACTCGAGCTTCGCCAGCCCGGCCGAGGTGGTCCTGGAGCGGCTGGGGACCGTGGAGGAGCTGGGGGCCAAAACCGAGCCGAAGAAGGAGGACGAGGAGAGGAAAACCCCGCAGCTCGACCCGGGTAAAAACATCTGACTGTCCCCTAAACCCAGGAATGTTTATTAGCTATAAGAACACACAGGTGTGTGTGTGTGTGTGTGTGTGTGTGTGTGTGTGTGTGTGTGTGTG